GAGCGTAATGAACCCTGTGTCAAAGAATGATTTTACCCGATGCAGCTTGAAGAAGCGCTCAATCTCCTCGCTCTCTCCTCCCGCGCAGCTCACCAGCAGGTGACGCAGCTGATCGACAGGACGGAGCTTTTGGAAAATGTGACTCCCCTACAGAAGAGTGAAAATATTTGCCATTAGCATTCCAAAGCGAGACTTGACATTGTGTTTCATGCGGCAAGAGGCTTTCAACCTTTGCTGAAAGAAGGACAAATTTCTGTGGGGGGATGTTGTGCTGCAGGACCACCACGGGGGAGTCAGTGACTGGGATCAGGTCTTTGTTCAGGGGAGTGCAAATCCTGGCTGGCCTCTCCTCGCTGATGGCGCTTATAGCCCATGTGTGTCCATCGATATTAGACATCATCTGCATGGAAAAGGGACTTTGTTATGTATGCCGGCATTACGATTCGGCATTTGCAACTTCGTAGATTTTTGGGGTCACCGAACACCATCCTACTGTTTTTCTCTCCCCCTGTTCATATGTTTGCCCACCCCTGTCATCGAGATATTAGCCTGGAAGGTTTTAGTCTAGAACGGCTTCGTTGGTCCCACCTGAGTCTCCATCAAGGGCTTCTTGAAGGGAAAAGAGTCATGGTTGATGCACCACAGGACGTCGTTGTCCTCAGTCTCAGAAGCCGCCATCAGCAAAATACCTGTGGCGATCATACAATAGTATCAAAGACTCTCGATAAAGAAATGCCAATATGGTCAGGGTTTACCTTTACTGTGCAGCGCCTTGTGGACCTTGGCGGGTTTCTGCAGCGTGGATGATGCAGAGAAGCCCGGCGGTAGGCGGACGTGAACCAGTGAGAGCAGGGTGGGTCGGGCCGGCGTGTGCCTTTGTTGCGGTGGCGCAAACGGCGTGGTGCTGAAGTAGAGACGCACACCTGCGGGAAGAAAAAACAAAAAGAATAATACCAGAAGTGCAAACATTTTCCTGTGTTGCGTGTGCTATGTTGTTTTTCCTCCCGCTCTTTACCTGCATGTGTCACAGCAAGCAAGTGGCAGTCAGATGACTCCGATCTACTTATCACAGAGATCTGGACGATGGGCTGGAAGACAGAACGATCGATCGTCCTGCAGAAGAACAGTTTGAAAACCAATATCAATTCTCGTGAGTTTCAAGAAGAAGGGTCCAAAAAGTGAACTCTTGTTTCATCGTGGCGAGACCTGGCAATGTTTCCAGCGGCTGTGACAATGCTGTTTTGAGACATGGTGGCCACACGACTCATAGCTTGTCCGTCAGCACCCAGGTCATACACCTGACCGATGGAAAAGAGCGTTTTATTTCAGCACACTGACAAACACCAATAACGTCTGCATACAAACAGCTGGTTCTCTGGTGTGCCCTATAATAAATGCGACATTGAACTATCCAGTAAATATTTTGTTATCTGCCTATTTGTGAAAATGTGTGTGAGCAAGACATTCTAAAATATGCCTAAAAAGTTTGTGCAAATTGTGCAAAAAAAATGCATACTGTGTCCTATGTAGTCTGTAAATTACAGTTCACACACCATACACACGGTAGAATTACGGTAATACCTGTATAACTCCTTTCTCAGAGCGTGTAAAGAGTGTGTTACGGGAGTTGTCCACAGCAATCTGCACAATTGGGTCTGGAATGCAGGAAAACATGTTTGATGAATAAATACTCATCTCAGTTATTTCCTCAGGGTCGGAATCATGTGTGCTTACCATCCTCAGAGAAAGAGAACTGGAGCACAGAGGGGACGAGGAAGGAGAGGGAGCTCTTAGAGTGGTTGATCTTGCGGCAGCGCTGACTTAGCCAGCCCGCCTCCGCCTGGTAGGCGATCTCATACAGGCAGCCGTCCTTGCCTGCCATGAAGATGCGACCCAAGTCGGTGGAGGTCACTGAGAGGATGTAGGTGTTATCGGTGGGAATGGAGAAGAGAGGGTCCAGCAGCAGCTGCAAGCCGCCCGACATGCTGTCGTTCAGCCCTGAGACAACACAGAAATACACATGCTGGGATGATACATTAAGAGCAGAAAGGGAGGGAGTATGTTATTTCCTTTCTGTATGTAACAAGACATTTGGAAACCCTTAAAATGGGAAAAATATCATATACTTTAAAGTTCAAGTGACTTAAAATTGCCCCAAAAAATACAGCCGTGATTCTGATAACCATGAACATATATATAATGACATTTGGAATAAATAATGGCTTTGCTCCTGATGAAAGCCATACTCACTCCAGTCCAAACTCACCAGCATGGCCCTTTGGGAAGCTCAGTCCCAGGATGACTACATCCACGGATGTGGCCAATACAAGCAGGTAATGGATGTGAGGCTGCAAAATCCCTGGGGAAAAAAAAAAAAAAAACATTATGCACCTGAAGGTACAAATTAATGTATTGCTCACACAAACCTTGTTTTGGTTTCACCAGCCCAACAGCCAGAATGGTTTCGATGAGGCCGTCGAAATAGGCGACGTCTCCCCTGCGAGGCATATTAGCACAAATCATCACATATCGGCTGTACCTCTCAGTCACTCGCTCTAATGCGATTCTGCTAACCCGTCCTCATAATTCCATAAGAAGATGTCGTTGTCGATCGTGAGCCATGCTCGAGAAATCTCGGGAAAAACACCCATCATGCAGTTGAACTGCATATCTGCAATTTACGTTCAGGGGAAAAACTGATGTCTCTATTAAAATATTAACCAGAAGATAAATAATAAAAAAAATATTTGCTATAAATGTATAATGTAGCATATTTACATCAGATTTATTGATAGTGAAGATATCAATTTACTCTTCTTGACACTTCCCAAATGTGCAATTTGAGAACAGAAAAAAAAATCGAAACTGTGTAACTTCCAATGGAAATCCAGACTTGTCCTTTATCAATGAAAGGATACGGCTGAATTGCTCGACCAGCTCTGGAGGCAGGGGAACTCGGCGCACTGCACTGAGCTCTGGAAGGTTGGGCACGCTGAGTAAACCAGGGCCTTGGAGGGGATAGTCCATGTCGGACACTCCAGAGAGGGACGGTATATCTAATAGCACAGACGTCATGTTAACATTTGTGACAAAAAAAAAAAAAAAAGCACCAAAATTAATTGTATTTAAACGCACTATTCCTGAAACATTTAATGGGTAACATGTAGATCGTATGTATCAGACCTGCCACCATTCTTCCTTGACTTCACCTCAAAATTAAGTTAAGCATGCATATTGGTATCACTGTACACTTATTCCTACCTCTACCAATTGTGCATTTCGTTACCGTGGCTGACAAAAATAGACACGGACAATATAACCGATATCTCTACTTTTTACTCCTTTGTATTCCTGGCTGGTACTCCACCGCGACTTACTGTGGGAGGGCACGCTGAGGAGCTCCGACAAGTCCGGGAAGCAGCGGTCATCCAGCAGGTGTCGGTCGACTAGCCGGGCCGAGCTGTCGAGTGCATCGGCAAGAGCAGCGGAGGGGCTGCTGGGTCCGGCGGTGGACGGCATGGTTCACACTGCCACTGACCGATGAAACTAGCCGGATAAAAGTGTTCAGTCAAACTAAGACACGGAATAATACACACCGCGTTAATATACGTCACTTGGTGTTTAAATTTGAGTCTACGTGAGTGACGTAAAACTAGTTAAAACAAGTTGATAAGTAGTGCACTGATTGCTAGGATTCTTAGAATAAGTACTAGCATGGAGGCTAAAAGCTAAAAGCTGCTTAAGCGTAATTAAACGCCATTCTGAGTGAGCTCATCATCTTACCCGAAAGGGGAAGATTCCGCCTATTTAGTGAATTATTCCTCCAACGTCAGTTAGTTTAGTAAATAACGTGAAGAAAGTAAGGGAAGTGATTAAAAAAAGCGAGAAACACTAAACTGCCCGCCAACCTCATGCACGAACGCCGAGGTCAAAGGTTTTACTTCCGGATTCTTAAAAAAAAAACATATTTGTGACGACTTTGTAAATTAATTTACGGATATTTTTATTGTTTCAAAAAGAGTTGAAACTATTAGGTATGTTTTCTAACAATTTAGATAAAAAAAAGTATAAGTTTATTCTTTTTAATGCAATAAGTCCTACGGCGGTCGAGAGGGTCACATCATCAAAACGCGATTGCAAACAGCCTCTGTACTGACGTATTTATTTCAATAAAATCTATATTGCTTCCATTAAATTGCACATATACTATGAAACGCACTGATCACCTTTAGCAGGACAGTGAGCTAGGAGGTACAAAATCTGGCTTTTGGTCGACAAATTTAAAGCTCAAATGTGGAGGTTCACTTTGTGGACTGAACAAGCTACGAAATGTTCCATTATAAAAAAAAAAAAAAAAAAAAAAACAGGTATCATTTTTATCCTCAGTCAATCCTTCCATTTTTTTTATTTTTTTTTTTTATTCAGCTTATCCTCACAAGGCTCGCGGGCGTGCGGGAGCCTTTCCCAGCTGTCTTCAGGTTGCCAGCCAATTTAGAGTATTCCTTTAACCTGCCATTCATGGTTTTCGGAGTGTGGGAGGAAACTGGAGTAACCGGAGAAAACCCACACAGGCACATGCAAGCTCCACACAGGAAGGCTGGAGCCGGAATCGAACCCTGCACCTCTGCACTGTGAGGCGAATGTGCTAACCAGTCGTTCACCGTGCCGCCATTCTCAATCATTTTTGTATTTTGGACACACAGTGGTTTGCTTGTCTGCCCGTAGTTCGGTGTTTCATTTTAGCTTCTTGACTCTAAATTGTCCATTGGCGTGAATGCATGTGGAGGCTTGTATGTTGAAATGTGCTGTGATTAACTGGTGACCAGTCCATACTGTACCCCGCCTCTCACACCAAAAGTCAGCTGGGATAGGCTCCAACTCACCCGTGATCCCATTGAGGACAAACATGAATAGTGTTGTGAAAATAGTGTTGTGTTCTATAATTGCAATATCTTTCTTTATAAACAAGTGCAAGGTGAATGAATCCCTTCCATGCTATAGTAAGTCCAAAAAACACTTTATTAAGAACGTCAATACACTAATTTCCAACATTCACTTTCTTTTTTTCTTTTTTTAACTTTTTTTTACAGAATTCTTTTCAGATATAAACATTTTTTTTAGTTCAACTATAATACAGTCAGCGGGAGTAAAAATGAATCGGGTTGCTGCACAACAGCGAAGGAGCTCCCACCCAATGTTTTTCGAAACATTTCCTTCTGGTCTGTTAACTTCAACTTGGTCTATTAGGTCCTTAAATAGAAAGAGCTTTGAATGTTTCTCTGTAACATACTGGATCCATGTGGGTTTGCCAGAGTGTTGTCTAATGCTTAGTCCCGTCCTTGGCGGCGTATAGCGCTCGTAACGTCTGTGCCACTTTGTGTGTCAGCTTGTGTCCGCTCGTTAAGGAGATTTTCTTATAAATAATGTCCGACTCCTTGATGTTGTCCAACCAAGGCACCTTTTTGCGACCGTCCCGTTTCTTGGCCACGGCCCAGGGTCCGGAGTAGGACCCGCACATCCAGTGCACGCTGTAGCCGCTTTTGGTCTTCTGCACCACCCTGGCGATCTGCGGCCTGTCTTTGTATTTGGGACAGCAGATGGCCACCACGTCCGTCACGTCCACGCTCTCGTTCATGTGGCCGGAATCCTCCGCCAAGTCGTCACCTCGTCGCGACTTCTGCTGTGAGTAAAAGGAAGCTGTTGTTGTGTGTGTGTGTGTGTGTGTGTGTTATATATATATATATATATATCGACACACCACCTGTTATTTTTTTATGCCTCTATAT